GGTTGGGACAGTTGCTCCAATCTGATTAAGATTGAGCTTCTTCCTATAATCAACATAGTGTTTCGGATTCTTCCATTGAATCTCTGGTAGCAGTCTGTCTGGGCATTTTGGAGACATATGGTCCTCCCTGCCACATACATAACATGCTGCCTCTTTCTTATCGTCCTTCGGTTTACCTTTACCTTTACCTTTATTAGGCTGGTCTTTTCCTTGGTACAGGTTCACTCCCGGATTCTTGATCACATCCATGTGAATCTTCAACATATCTTGCGCTTTGCTGACCGTCTTTGGATAATAATCCACTTCCCTGCAGTAGGTCACCTGAAGATCCAGCATCAGAGGAGCTGTTCTTGTTTGATCACAAATGCACAGAAATCCTGTTGCAAGAACGGCTTCAAAGATATCATCCTTGAACTTGTCTTTAGCAGCAGTATTGGTGCTAGCAATAGCAGCATACGCTTTATTCTTGACTGCAAAATTTTGGAAATACGGCAACACCATATAGATCTTGCAGGACTTCAGCCTGTCTCAAGAATCGTTCCTTGAAATGCATCAAGTTTTCTGTTGTTCCCTGCTTCATAGCAAAGATTTTTTGATTGGCTTCCCAGAAATCCAAGAAGTCATACTCAGCATCAGCACTCTTCTTCATGAATCGTTCAATACGTTTCAAGAGTTCAATTGGATTTTCAAGAGTAGTCGTGAAATCGGCTTCACCTTGAAGCTTGATGTCCATCGCTTTCGTCACAAACTTAAGCATGATGTTTGATTTGACAGTTCGCTTGTTCCTTTTGAAGTAGGCTGATCTTTGCATGTTCTCGTCAAGCTTTGCAGAATAGAGAATCTTGTTTTGGGCCATCTCTGTTTCTCTTGCAACAGCTTCAGTTTGAGTTGGAGCATTCAATGTTGGAGCGATTGCATTGTAGTCCATGGACTTTCCATCTCAAATTGATTTCATCATGTCTTCGGAGCATTTCATTCCAGAAGCTTGGATGTAGTCAATCACTCTTTCTTTGGCATCTTCGTACGACGATCTTGCCTTTCCATCGTTTTCATCTTCAGTTGGACATAGATGTTTCACAACTGTTGAACTTGAATTGCTCTTGACTTTCTGAGGAGTCACACGTCCTTTTCCTCCACTGGATGAAGAATGTCCCATAGTCTAGGAAGAAGCTCAATCTTAATCAGATTGGAGCAACTGTCCCAACT